AATAATGAAGCTGAGAGATTCAAAATGGAAGATGCCAGCAGCAACGTCTTGTGTCAAACTGAATATGAACAAACAAGAGTATGTATATAGAAATAATTTGCTATCCCCCCCCCCCCTCATTGTTGTAAAAAGCCATGTAAATCTGTATTATTGTATGATACAAATAAATTGAATAATTTTAAGGCAATCTCAGAATACAAAGAGGTTTCAAAACGTCAAATTTCACGATTGAAAATATTCAAAGCTCTATTGGCGAAGAATGGCCTACAATACCTTCGTTATTATTCGTAAGTAAAATTACCAATAATAAATTTATAAATAATTAATTCTTCTATAAGAATTAATTATTGATAATTAACAAATTATTATATATTTCTTTATCTATAAAACAAATTTTTACTGTTTTATTTATAAATTTTACAATTATTTTTCATTTATATAGCATTGAACCGTTGTACGCAAAAAATTCAAATTTTTTTGTCAAATAGTTCCACATTTCATTATTGTAATAATAAATAACATTATTTTAGAGGATTAATTTTCGCAGTACTATTTCCAATAATTCAAATCTTAGTCTTTATTATGGCAATTGGCGATGATCCGAAAGATTTGAAGATTGGAGTTGTTAATGATGAAGCGGGTACCTGCGGTTATGGCAGCAATTTAGGTAATGTTTGGAATGACGAAATCACCTGTCACTTTGGCAATCTCAGCTGTAGATTTCTACACAATTTCGACGACTCCATCGCGACACAGGTGCAATAATTTAAAGATTAATAATGTATATGTATATAATTAAAACAATTTTGCGTTTGCTTAATATATTTCCCGCTGATTATAGTAATTCAATAAATTGAATGAATATAAAACTCTTAATACGGTTTGATATAAATTGACAGGATGAACAATAATAAAAACTTTAACGTATTTCTTGAAAATTTTTATCAATACTTTGCTTTTAGGAGTATTATGACACAGTTTCCGAAGCGAGTCAAGCTATACAAAATGGTAAACTTAGCGGTTTAATGTATTTTAATCAAAACTTCTCAGAAACTCTGCAGAAACGAATTGAAGAAGGTACTTTCACAGAAGATTCCGATTTACTTGCCAGTGAGATTCAGGTTTTCCTTGATATGGGTGGTAAGTTATTTATGTATTATACCAAACATTCTCTTTAATAAATTTAATTTAAAAATTTGGTTAATTTACATAAATATACAAAAATTATTTCGAATGAAAAATATCATTTAAGAAATTACATAAAAATCCAAAAAATTAAGATTCAAACAATTGAAAATTTTGAGTACATTAGCATAAACGGCGCGCAAAATTAATTAATTTATTTTAGTAAAATTACAAATACTTAAATCTAACTATAACAATGACTTTTGTTACAGATAGACAAATTGGACTTTTCCTGCAGATAAAACTGTTTGAGCGTTTTTTAGAGATTTATGAGGATATTATGAAGGACTGCAAATATTCACCAAAATTGGCTGATCCGCCCATTCGAGTAAATATAATTATATATTTTGTTATAATTAAATCTTTTTTCTCTTTTTCCATTCATCTTTCTCTCTCAATTCTGTGAAATAAAGGAATAAAATTCCAATTGTTTCCAGTTTGAAGATCCTATTTTTGGTACAACCGATCTCAATTATGCGGATTATGTGACACCAACATACATGTTAACGTAAGCAAAAATTAATCCAACACAATGAATGATATATCATTGCTATTACTAAACTGTTTATATCTTTGCAGAGTCATCTTCTTTTTAGCCACTACAGTCTCTACTGCCTTAATAATTACAGATCGGTCAGAAGGTGTCTGGAATCGAAGCGTAGTCCAAGGTAATTTACTAATTTAGTCTTCGAAATCAGTTTTTTAACTATTTCTTATCGCAGTAATTCAAATGTGTAATATAAATATTGATAGGGGTTAAGGCAGAAGATATTCTACTATCTCATGTTCTTATTCAGAGCATCAGCATAGCCATTCATACTGCTATGATAGTGCTTATATTTTTTCCTATTTGGGGTCTAGAATGTAAAGGATCAATATTTACTGTAATAGTCCTCACATTTCTCGTCGGTTTTTGCGGATTAATGCATGGTAAGCACTCCACAAAATGTAAATGTCAAAAGAAGCTCATAGTAACAATTTATAAATTGATAGAAATTAAACTGATCAGTGTTAATACTTTCGTAGGTTTCATTATTTCTGTTATGTGTAAAAATCACACTATGGCGAATTACTGTTCGGCCGGAAGCTTTTTCCCGCTAATAGTAACGTCCGGTGAGTCCTGATGTTTTGTTTTTTGCGAATTATTTTTTATTTCAATGTAGTATTGTTAAATAATATCGTTATTAAATTAATTGTTAAATTTAAATATTTTTAAGCCGAATCAGACAATGTCACAACGGTCTAAGCTAGATCACGGGTGCTTTAAATAATTGCGTGTGAATTTATATACTACGTATGTAATTCTTCGATTGCGCGCCGAAATTTTTTCCGACTTGAAACGCAACACTAATAAACTATCGCAATAATATCATGAGTTAAATTGATTAACAATTTAACAATTATTGGTGCTGTTTACGCATCTTATATCGATCTTAATAATGTTAAATCTTATTAAGATCGTTATAAGATGCGTAAACAGCATCAATAATCGTTAAATTGTTAGTCAATTTAATTAATCGAAGAATTACATACGTAGTATATAAATTCACACTTATTTAGAAGCACCCGTGATTCAGCTTAGATCTGTGGCATTGTCCCATTCGGTTTGAAATTTAACGGTCCAATAAGAATTGACATTGTTAAATATTTTTATTACATAGTGATATACATATATATTATATTGTTAATAATAATATATAAAAATTTAGCAATATTAATTTAATTCAAATTAACATCAATATTTAGCGAAAAATTATCTTACGTTAATCAAATTTTTATCAATATACTAATTAACAAAATTATAGGATGTATATGGCCAGTAGAAGGAATGCCAGAAGGACTTCGCTGGTTTAGCTATACATTGCCAACTACGTTACCCTCTATATCTTTAAGAGGAATCATCTATAAGGGTTACTCCATATCTGAATCGCAAGTTTATATTGGCTTCTTACTAAGTACAGGATGGATATTGTGTTCTTTTATGGTGACTATACTTGGTGTAAGATCGAAGTCCTCGTGACAATATTTAGAAAACTCCTAAGACGGTTTCTTAGAAAGGAAACAGAAGCAGTCTCGCATAGAAACTACAACGTTCAGTTAAACTTAAATATACAGAATGTTCGTCTAATTTAATTTATTGATTTATGTAGAATATACAAAAAAAGGTATAATTATTTAATGATTATTCGTGAGAAATTGTTGCAAAGGAACAAATTTAATATTTATCTATTTAATTAATCGTAATTATAAATTAAATTTGCTTCCTATATTTTAAATTAATAATTATCTTTTATTTTTTTACATAATATAATAATATGAAACTAATATAATTTTATTTCTGTGTGATAGCGCGCGCGCAGTATTAAATGTTTTCAGAGAATATCAATGAATATTTTAGGCAAAAATTAATCTCATATGTGGTGTATTATACTAAATATATATATTTAATTATATTTAAAATAACCTATTTTAATATATGTATATTGTATATATGTATATGTTATAATTATTCAATTAAGTTACTTATTTTAGTTAAAAATTAAAGAAGTGTAGTATAACAAATCAAAATAAAAATAAAAGAATCGAGGAAGGAAATTAAGATAAATGGAAAAAAGAGGGAACTGAATAAAGTATAATACAGTTAGTTAAATACATTTCCATTGACAACATATTAATCTTACATGTATATAAATATACACAGTATTCTCTATATACAAACATATGCCATACACTTCACTATATATATATATATATATATGTGTATATATATCTGTTTATACTCATATATATTATTTACTATAATTATATCATTACATTATATAATTATATTTGATAACATAATCGTGATGCATAATTTTGACGATTATCATCGCAACGATATAAATATAATAATTATGATCAAATACTTACATCACAAATTTGTTATCATAATTGAGCTACACAGTTATAATACACAATTCTGTTATTATTAATTTTACAAGTATTATAGTTGCCACATTTTTAATTATGATACATAGTTACGGCAAGACATGACAATTAATATTCAATTAGTTATTGTTAATAACGAATTATTAATAACTCTTTTTTTTATTTTTAAACTTTGTAATTTCTTTCATAGTTTCTATCTCTTAATTTCTTTCCTCCTTTTATCTTTAAATCTCTTTGAAATTTTGACCATATTTATTTTGAAAAGCTCACTTTAGACTTGAAAATCCAGAAAAAATAGATGATTAGTTTAATAGTGATTTATGACATACCACATAACACTATTCTTTATTATTTTCTAATAACTTACATTCAGAGATCTATAAAAAATAGATAGCCAATATCTATATTCTATATAATAGAGTAATAATATATATTTACAGGAGAAACCCCAAAAGTGTTCATCGTTTTTCAATGCCAATTTTTTTGATTTTTTATAAAAAAATATACGTGTCACCGTGTTTATCAGCATATAGCTTTGTTTTTAATAAATTTTTGAAAATCGGAAAATTAAACGATCGCTCCAGTAAATCAGATTCGCATTCGAGATTCGGTAACTATTCTTTTTCTTTAAAATATATGTTTTGTTATATTTGTTATTTCTTTCGAACAATTCGAATATCGATATATCATCCTATTTCCTATAAAAAAATATTAAAGCGTTTTTAAATGATTAAAAAATTAATTACGCACAAGAAACAATTAATAGCACGTGCATTTAAAAACGGAATCTCGAAACGCTCTATTTCTATATTTTTGAAAAATAAATGTAATTTGAATTTGTCAGAGAGAGATATTCAAAAATTTATAACTTGAGAACAAAGCTGCAGATTGGTACACACCGCGATAAGTACATTTTTTGGCCTCGAGTGTCACTAAAAAAATTTTTTAAACTGAATGAACACTTCTAGGATTCCCCTTGTTAATGTAAAGCAATACTTCAATAAGCATTCAATCTTTGTTTTACTTGGGGAAGCTGCTATTCACACATAAAAATAGTTAGTCCTATAAAAATAGTTAATTTAATAGCGGAATTAGATGTAAGAATAATCGTGATACGGATTCCGCGTACTTTGGTAACTTTCAACGCTCTCGTTGTTGTTGTTGCTATTGTTGTTGCTAGCGACCATGCTAGTGTCCTGATTAAAATCATTAGTAGCTGGATTAGAGTTTATAGCAGAAAGAAGAAGCCGGGGACCACAGGCTCGGATTGGATGAGTAGCAATGAGACAGTCAACTATCTGTCTTATAGTAGGCATGCAGGTTTTGTTGTATCCTGGAAAACACACGTCACATGCTCCATCAGAACTAAAAAAATGCATACCGACTACCGTCACGTCGTCTTGGGTGTTAAATTTTTTATTTATTAATATTTATAATCGATAGAAAATCGATAGAAAAATTTATTTCAAGAGATTAGACGAATAATTCAAGATAAAGTTTCATATTTTGTAATATGAATGCAACGAGATATTCGATTAAAAAATTGTAAATTAATATTATATAAAAAAATGTTTCTCAATTCTAGTTTCAATAATCACAAATAATTTGAAAAATGACAGAATATAAAAATATTTCGTAATACTGAGAGTGTTCGATGAAAACCTTCGAAATATCATATATTGAACATGGCCGGAGACACTACCGCGTCTTCTGATATTATATGTATACAACCCAAAAAGACGGATGTACATCTGATTGTTATAACAAGTATGCATAGACGATCATCTAAAACTCAGATGTAAATGGTAGGAAAAACGAACAGGATTGAAGTTATATCACATGCATTTTTAAATCGCGAGCAGAGGGATAAAATATAACGCAGAAATATAATGGACAGGGAGAAGTCATAAAATCGTAAGCTATACAAAGAAAAAATGATAGAAAAGTTTAGATAATAGTAGCTAATCATAGCTAACATTCAATTTTAACACAATCGAACGATTTATTAGGACTCATCATCGACAGTTCTGTGATAATCTCGATATTTCTTAAGATAATAAAAATGAAAAAAGAGATCTTAAAAGACTAAAAGAACTTATCATTGATGCGGCTTCGCTTTAACTTTGACTGAATCCCTAGATATTCCTGATGCAATAATCAAAATGACATTGAGCACAAAAGAGATTCATTAGGTCCAAAGAATCAAAGAGACTCATTTTAAACGGTTTCATTTTAGCCTTTACTTGAATCTCTCCCTTCAAGTGTTCATGTCGCGGGAATCGAAATTAAGGTCCGAAAGGATTAAAGGTATTCCTTATCGGTGATTCCACATTAACATTTAAAGGCATTCTTGGTATGCTAATTAAAATGGGAATTATTTATCGCTAAACTCATTAAACGCATTTCTCAAGCAGTAAAAATGCGCAACATCACATGCAATAAAGGGAAACAGATTTCTCCAATAGATTTCGCACAAAGTCATTAAATACAAATTAGATGAATATTGGTATTCTAAATACTTAGCGTTGATGTAGTTTCAACTACATTCTAAAAACAGTTACAAAACATAGTCTAAAAACATCAAGCCACGAAAGAGGGGAGTAATAGCATTATAATACTGACACCCTGTATGCAATTAAAGTTTAAAAAAAGTATATTACATATATATGCTCCCGAACGCACACGAAATACTTCTTTGTTATAGTTCGATAATAATACTTAGCATTTGCATGCACAAATAAATAGACATACAGACATACGGGTAAAAAGTTAAAAAATGCATACGAGCTTATTAATAATTACGGCATAATACAAATTTTTTCAAAATCTTTTTTTGGGCATCTTACTACTTTTCGCATGTAAAATGTCCCAAAGAAAAGCGATATAGCAAATATTTTGAAATTGGTTTCTTGAAAAATGTCAACGCTATGGCTTGAAATATCTTTTTAACTTTCAGCATTATTAGTAATAATTAAATCATTAAATCGTTAAATTATAATTAATAGTATCACTCTCATTAAATATACCTTGGATTAATGATTAAATTTTACACCTGGAAGAACACCTGGAAGATTATCCGGGGTAACATATGGAAGAACATCTAAAAGAGTTTACCTGAGAGAAGCAATATATCAAAAAAATAATAATTTTTTCTCATTTTTCGGGCGCTCTATAAAATTCAGAGTGAAGCACTATCTCCTTAAATCGATGTATCGCTTTGTCACTTACAGCTACAATTGTTCTGTGTAATATTGACTGTAATATTACTAAGATTGTCTTGTTGTCTCTCATATAATTCTTGCGTAAATCATCCAACAATTTCTCGATTATTCACATCGAGAATAACAATTTCTTCTGTTGGTCCTGCCTATCGATACCGAGCTATCGATTTAAAGTCGTACCTTATATTAATAACACAACTATCACAATAATTATATAATACTGTAACGGCGTAAATGTTTAAGCCGAGATGCCAATATAAATAGCAAAATTTGCTTCGCCTATACTTTTCATAATAATTAAGGTGACATTTATCTTTTTGTTAAATTAAATTATTATAATATAATAAATACATATTGTATATTAACTAGTCGTTAAATATTTCTTAATTGTCAATTAATTAACAATATGTCAAGCAATTAATCAATATCAATATTTGTTTCGCAATTTTGCGTAATGTGTTACACAAATGCGTACATTACATTATATTTAATCAATTATACAAGATATTTTATAATTATACGTATAAATTTAACTAGTTAGTAGAATTCATAAAAAGAAATATCTTGATCATTTTATAAATTCTATTAATTGATATCTTATATAATGTTTAAATATAATTATATACATTTATTATCTCATTACATATATTATCTCCTTAAAAGATTTATCGGCTTTTATCAAAGTAGTTGTACATACGCGGAAATACTTATGTTCAAAAACCGATGAAGCTTTTGTATAACAATTAAATCTATCATTTAATATATCTCTAAATTTCTATATCGCATGCGCACGCGATATATATATTATATATATACTTTTCGATTCTAGCCACTACAGAAAAATTTCGCACGTTCTCTTTTCGATTATACTTACTTATTTAATTTATATAATATTAAAAAAAATTTCTTCTTTCTATAAAGATTGTTGTTGCACATTATTCAATGCATCTCTTGATTTATATATATCGTATTTTCTTTTCATATATAATTTCTAATGTCTCAGCTACACGATGTATCCGATTGCCCATTCTGATTATAAGGCAGTTTCCTTCTCGCTGATAATCTTGATTCCATGTTGTGTGAGAATCATCTTCACCTCCTCCTTATCTCGAATGTTTAGTTTCTGAGTTAAGTCTTCAGCTTCATTTTCCTTTCCTAGATTCTCCATCTGTGAATTTAAATTATCGGTAGACTTATTCAGCCTATCTTTACAGACATTGTCGGTCGGTCTTTGCAAAGATTTTGATCTTCTCGAGTCTCTCGATATCCGCAGATTATCAGCAGATCCAATCAACGTTGTATTCTTCGCAACTTTGAGCACCTTATCGCTTCCCTTTGAAGACATCTTTGCCAATTGGAGACTGTCTACCGAAGAATACCGTCTCTTATCTCGTGTATTTCCGCTAGAATCTTCCTTTTTTCTGAACAAGGAACCTTTGCGGTTGACCTTTCTGGTCCCGCTCGTTAAAATCGCAATTTCATCTTTGGGTATGAAGTATAATTCCCGCGGCTGATCTCTGTTCATCGAAGAGCCATGAATAAACAAAGATTGTGATTTCGATCTTCCAGGATCCTTAATTCTCTCTTTATCAGAGATCCTGCTTCGATCATCAGCTGATTCCGTACCACTCTGAAAGCCACAGTTCTCAATCTCAAAGCTATCGTCGTCATCTTGGTGCGGATCAATCATCTTGAAAGTATACCTATCAGCCGGTAGTGTAGAATCCTGATCAAAACTACCATCCACCTCACCACAGATTTTGCAAAGCTCGCAGGGTATCTCCTGAACTTTTCCCTCAAGATCGTCAGCAGATTCCTGGAGATTGAGCGAACCGCAGATGTCACATTCGATTGAATCGTCATCATCAGCCAGCGAGCTACAGGCTGATCTGAGCGTATAAAACGTCTCCTGATTCGGGCTGCTTACTTCCTCCTCCGTTCGGAAGGTGATTTCATTCATGTAACAGCAGATCGAGCAGAACTCGTCCGGAATATCAAGTTGCGAGCCACTACTATTCGCCTTTGCTGGCGGTACGCCCAGAAATACTTCTTGAATGCGCTTAATTGATTCATAGCTCTTCGACTTCTTCGAGAACGCGTCGTCCTTTTTCGGCTTCTGTGTAGATGTTTCATCGGACACGATCATTGAGTCCAAGCTGCCTTGAAGAGGTACGTTGTAACGTCGCACTTTTCTCGTATACACGTCTTTAATCTCGTTGAAATCACACTTTGTTTTATTATCAGCATCTTTTGCCGTTTTTATTGCTTCTTGTGCTTGTTGTCCTTTGTTATCGTTCATTTTTACAGTCTTCTGAGTTTGAGTCTTTTTCGGGCTCTTTATGGAAGACGTTTTCGAGGAATGGTCTTCAATCCGCGACGTCTCTCGATTATCAACATGTCGATTTTGCTTCTTCAATTCGCTCTCGGAATCGTTTTTGGAATTCTTCTTTGAAGAATCCAGAAAGACTTCCTCTAGTTGAGTGATAACGCGATCGTTGATAGATCGATCGTAATTTTTCATATCTTCACTTTTATAAAAAGTTTGACTTTTCTTTTTGGGACTTTTTGTACTTGTAGATATTTTTGACGACTTTTGGGATGCCTTCCTGGATAGATCACTAATAGATTTATTAAAATCTTTCATTTCGCGTCCACTTTCACCAGTCTGAAGCTTTTCGACTTTTTTAGAACTCGTCGTCTTCATGGAAGATGATCTTGGAAGAATCTTGGAAGAATCTTGGAATATTTTTTCAGCACGAAATATTTCTCGGTCCTTGACAATTTGTCTTTTCTTCTCAATATCAACATCTACATCGTAAGTCTGTTCTTCCGCGATTTCGGAGCTCTTCATCTTCATGGAAGAATTTTGGATTGAAGCTTCAGATTGAAATACCTGTGGATCGTCAATAAGTTCATGTTGCTCCTTGACCTCAACGTCACGAACTTGACCATCCTTGATCTTTCTCGGACTCTTACGAGAATTTACGATCGATTTTATATATTTACCATCTATTTCGAGACTTGAATCGCAAGATGTCATCGGTTTATCCGAGGAATGCATGTCCAATTCTGATCCTTTTTCTATTGTGCTCATCTTGTCAGTCTCTTGCGATATTCTAAATATTTCTTCTGTCTGTTCTCTGCTTTTAAAATTATTATCCTTATCGTTTACCTCTGCTACTGAAAATGATTCTTCCACGATATATTTCAATTGATCTGGTTTATCGGAAGATTTTGTGCAATTATTACTATCGTAATCATTTACGAAATCTACATTATCTATCATGTCTTCTATTTGACCGTCAGCGTATTTCGTCAAATTCAATCTGGCAGTATATATAGGTTTCTTATCCTTTTCTTCATCCTCGTCGGAACCATATTGGCTAAGGCGATAATCTTCCTTGTCTACGCTGAAATCGGAGAGAGCACACTCGTGGCGACCGTCCAGTGACGTCATTGAAATGTTTAGTGACGAAGTTATTGCCTTGGCATCTAGATATTTAGTTCTAGATTCAAAATCAGCTGTCTCTTTTCCGGAACCAATTCCCACGTCGTCGATTTCGACGTTATTTTTCATATCTCTCTCCGTATTAAGTTCGGTTAGTTCAGTATCATTTTTGCCTACCTTATCTATCTGTGAATTTTCTTTAAATTTATTCTTTTCCTCGTCAAGTTTACTTTTAAGTTCATTTGTAAGTTTTTCTATCATTAACCTACGGTCGTCCTTTAACATAAGTATGCCATGGCTGGAATGAACAGGTTGAACCTTAACAACATCGGTAAATTCTACATTAATCATTTCTTTGTTGCTAACTTTTCCATCTACGACACTTTTTATTATCGATTTGGAGCTCTTCTCTGATCCAATTCTGCTAAATCTAGACCGATCTGAATTTACTTCGTCACTGATTGCTTCTACCGTAGATCTACGAGTTTCTTTCAATGCGTTCTTATCATCTAAACCTAACTCTGCATCGATTATCATTTTCCCAGACATAATTTTTCTATCGCAAATTTCAAATTCATCATTCGTAGCACTTTCTTTTTTCGGCCAGCAACATTCTCCTAATCGAAGTTCACCGGAACTCGACTCGCTAGATTGAACCTTCATTATTAATTTGCGATCGTCATTCGAATCTAAATCTACGTCAGTGACTTCCATTTTAGATCTCAAATTCTCTTTCTGCCCAATTTCAATTTGACCCTTTTCTACGCTTTCTCTTATGGACCTAGAACATTCTTTTGGCACGAATTCATTAGAACTTAGCTGGTTGGGCGAAACCTTCATGTTTATCTCACTCGAACCTAAATCTACATCAATAATTTCCGCCTTAGATCCCAAATTCAACACTTCCTTATCCCTAGTAATACTGTCTATCGTTAACCTACGATCTTCATTCGATACCAATTCGCCAGAATTAGAAGAAATTTTTACTATTATCTCGTGATCATCGTTTGAACCTAAGTCCACATCAATAATTTCCATCTTCGATCTGAAATCCGAGACCTCTCTCTGTCCAATAATAATTTTATTCGCGATATTATCTACCACTGATCTACGACCCTCTTCTGACGAAGGACCAGGTTGGGACTTCGCCATCGGCTCGTCAAGCGCACCTACCTCGTCTAAAATTCGCGCGACGCCGGTTACGCTGGCGATGATCTGTTTCGCTTGACCGGGATACGCGACTCTAGATACATGCTTGATGTTGCTATTGTCGGCGTTGTTGCTGATCATGCTAACGAATTGCTCGCGAATCTCGTCGAGCCCACCACCACCACCCGCAGCGTTCTGCAAGTTTTTGCGAAGCACCACCGCATCCGGCACATCAATAGACGCAACGATCTCGACTGGGCTCGGCGAGCCCATGGTTACATCGCTGGGTGACGGCGTTAGCAATGCAGTTAGGTATCGGGGATCTATGTGCAGGTAATTGTTCGCATTCGGTGACGACAATTCCAACTTACTTCAGTGTCCAATCGGCAGCAGCAGCGTGAAAAATATGATTCTTTTATAGAACATCACTTTCGTTCATTATGTCACATTCTAGTACAACATAATTTAGTCACGTGGGTTACGTTTTACATTTACAATTAAAAATTATTAGGTAATTGCATAGGAAATATATGATTTTTTTAGTCCGCAGAAATAAAATATAAACAAAATGGCGCACAAAATGTTATACTATTTGGTTTATATATGACACATTTATTTTTATCAAAATTGGTACAAAACTGATATAAATTGATTATGAAAACTGAATTGATTAGAACTAATACAGAGCCGATTGCCAAAGCCTTAAAATTGAAACTAAATACTTAGTATAATATTTCGTGCGTCACCTTATATATGCAACTAAAAAGTTTGATAGCGCTTTTTAAAACTTTTAAAATCCAATATTTCATATGCAGGAATTTGATAATAAAAATTAATAGTTATATATAAGCTTCAGTTTGTTTCCAATTCCAGTTTCACTCGTTTGCAAATTTTTTTTATTCATCCTTTATACAATAAATAGAATATATAAGAATAAATGGGGTTGTAATCCCACGCGACTAAAGTAAAGAAAAAAATAGTAGCAAAGATGTTTTCGGAATTCGATTCACTGACGATATTATTTATAATCATTAAAACCTTACTCTAAAATTAATCAAACATTTTTATTAATTCTTATCTTTATTGTCATCAACAAAATATTAAATACTTTTTCAATAATTATAATCGTAATAATTGCATTATCATTATCCTTGTCAGTGAATAAAATTATTTAAAGTTTGTATTGATCTTAAATTAATTTAATTGTAATATATGAACTCTTGGCAGACACTCTTATAAATAATTTTTTTATAATTTGTCAATATTATAAAAATTGATTTTTTAACCAAAACAATTTATATATTTAAAAAACTTTATTTTTTATATTTGTTAATTATATTTTGTTAATTAATAATATTTTTTATAGTAATAAATTAAAAACTTTTTGTGTCTGCTGAGAGTTAAACATATTTCTGATTTTAAACCTATAAAGAATAAATTTTGTATATATGTTTTGCACATATTAAGTATCCTTTTACATTAGTCAAAAAAAAATACAGAGAAGGAAAACAATAAAAAATACAATAATCTATAACATTTATTATACATTAATTCAAATAAAATTTCGATATCAAATGCATATTTATACGTTCTTAAATTACTTATAATAAACAGAAGATAATCTTAAAATATTACTAAAAATGATTAAATAATGAAACAGTACAATAAGTAAAACGTAATTTTTTGTCATGAATAAAGAAATGACTCAAAACATTCTTCGGACATAGAAAACTGGAATATACATATACACACACGTTTTATAATTTAAATAAAAATAAAAACATAGGTGCATTTTGTGAGGGCACAAGTTAACAGAAGTCAACATATTCTATCTTTGTTACTTTCTGAATATGAAGAAAGATAGAATGATGTTTGTGTCGATTTGGGTCACTAAATAAAAAACATCCAATATTGCTTTAATAAATGTCCAGAATTCATAAAAATTGAAGAAAAATATTTTGATGTTTCCTTGTAAATATTGTATTCGACGGAAGACAAGTAGAAAGACTAGAGTAAGGACTATCATATATCATACAAATTCCATTGAAATATTATATGTAGCAATAATCGCAATGTATTCTTTTCTTAAGTATATATATATATCTTATCTTTTGTACATACAATATTCACAAATTATATATATATATATATATATACATATATATATATATAATACTATACATAAAAAGGTAAAAATTAACATTTCTATATAGATAAGTAATAAATAATTAATATATAAAATTAAGGGCCGAAATAAAATTTTTATGATATTATATATATATTTACTAATTTTTTATTTTTATTGCGAAATTAAAAATGAGGTCATATTTTTTGTTGGACTATTATTATTATATATAATGAAATCACATATCTCTTTACATCATAGTAAATATACTGTTATTATAAAAATAAAGTATATTATCTTCTCAATATAAAATGTATAAAAATTGATAGTTATATGAAACCTACAAGTTTATCATTATTCATTAAAATATCACAAAACACATCATAATCATGATTTGTTTTTAATTTATTCCTCTCAAAGTTTCACTGCAGCTATATATATTGGATTATGATATAAAAACGAAATTATTTTTTTTTTCTAATAATAAAATATATTGATATTTGTATCAAACTTTGATTCCTCTTCAGTTTGTTTAATAATCTACAGTATATAAAAATTTGTAAAAAAAAATTGTTCTGCATATCATAATTCAATATGAGAATAATCATGGACGAGATGTTACACAGGCAATCAAGCAACAATGTTACGAATTCAATTTACGCGGTAACTCTTTTCTCACTGTGATTGCTCTCTATGTTTATTTTCTGCTTCCCTATTGTTTATCAGTTCTCCTCTTGCGTCGCACTCCGATTATATTTGCCACATGACCGTGTACAATACATAGAAAAAGCTCGCTTTTTATATGTGAGATAATCGGAAAACGATGCAAGAAAAAAGAGAAGTAATACTCAATAGCGAAATAGTAAAGTAAATAAAGAATATATGTGATTTATTGTACGTTACTTAACTTTTCGATTTTTCGTTTACCTGATCTAGCAACGATTGCCGCAATTTTTTGTAATTTACAAATTTCAAGCTTAAATCTATATAACTCTATCTTAAATCTTAATTTCGTAATTTTAATCCTCTCCTGCTCGATATAACTTTCAAATACCACTTTTATTTTATTCTCTTAGTTTGCGCATTAAACATATTTTCGTATTTTGCATATTTAAGCATATTTACATCTTTTGTCAACAAATTTCAGCAACAGAGGATTAATGAGCTAGCAGACTAAAGAAAAACGCTCGACTATCATTATAAAAAAATGCGTCTAAACAAAATATTCAGAACTCACATTGTTGTGTCTGTCATTCTCGCATCGTAGATCTCATGCTTGTAGATATAATCGATGACGGAATCTTGCAATAGGTACCTGACGCTCTCGCCGCGCTTCAGAGCTCGTCTGATCCTCGTTGAGCTAACTTCGTTTGGGATCCATTCGGTTACGATACAGATATTGTTCTAGAAATAATTAGAAAAAATCGAAATATTTGAATATCTAAAGCTACTTCTATAAGTTTTGCTACATCGATAAGGACAATTAATTTCATAACAATTTCAAAAACATATCTATTACAATTAAATTAGCAGATAAACTTTAATTAAATGTAGTACTTTTACTTAAATGTTTAAATTCCCACAGCTATTTAAAATGTATAACAACAATCTCTGACAAGTGAAATTCTGTCACATGTAAATGTTCGCTCGCATGCCTGCTTTACAAAGTCTAGCTCAGAAAACACAACAAGCACTCGCTGTTACCGATATACAGAATCCGGTCGAATAACATGTAAAAGCGGGCACGACGTGATTTCTTATAAAACAATAAAAAATATATATAAAATAAAATTTTTCGAATTTTTATATTCTACTAGATCCATTATAGAGAGAGATTTATAGGTTTTTTATTCTAATCACAGACAACATTATTGAGTGCTCACTCAATCACTGTTTCCTAAACAATTTAAACATAGCCTAATACTACAGGACAAATCTCACATGTAAATATAACAGTAACTTTTTTCGATATGCTAAGTAATATTTAATAAGCGCATGTTGCACGCTTTATAAACAAATAATTCAAGAAAAGCAAATTCAATAGAATTCTCAATTTTTTATTATACCATGTGCTTGGAGAGGATGTCTGAGTCATAGATGAATTTGTTGGGATTGGAACCCTCTCTGGTGATAACTACAAGACCATGTTCGCCAACAATTGTATCAATCTGTGACAGAAATAAGATCAATCATAAACAAAGAACGCAATATGAATAAAGGATAAGTAATGAAAAGGCCTTATTGTTCTTTTTGAGCTCCTCTCTCTCCTCCTCCTCTCTCTGAATATGTTGGAATACTTCAATACTTTGATGTGAATTTATATACATACATACTAAATTCTTCCTTTTGGTTTTATTTACATTTTATAGTTTCATTATTTTTATAATTTTTATACTACTTTTAGTTTAAAAAAATACAAAAGTACTCAAAGCTACAATTTTCTTCAAAATGCAAGAATTATTCAAAATTTCATGACAAGAAAAAGCAATGTTTTCAAGTAATCTTATTCAAAATGATCATTTGCAATATATTTTACAACTCACATCTTCTTCGAGCCAAAGTCCAGGAATGCCAAAGCTCTCTAGAAGATCTGCACCACACAGCAGTTTGATTTGTATCGGCATATTATCTGAACTGTTCTTTACATTCTCCGGAATCCAATCCATATCTTCTATCTGCATGTGATGCTTGATGTCATTGGAATTGGAAAGCATGGAGTTGAGTAGATTTTGATGATGCTGCAAGCACATGCGAGTTTTGGTCCAACAGTTCTGCCTTGTTTCCCATGTGCTCAGCCGAATCCAGTCACTATTCTGCAAAGCTAAGCGGAGCATTGCGCATCTGTGCGTAGCACTAGCCAGTTCCTTCTTGGCATATGCATCATGCACTGGAGAGATCACTCCACCAACGACAACATGTGTTCCCAATCGATGCAAATGGTCTCGAGCGATTTCTAAAAAATGAAATTATTCATATAATTTATAATTATTACCTCAACAAAAGTTCTTCATTATGACTACAAGGTTTATTGAATTATATTCGAATGTTTATGATTACGTAATTTATAATTATAGATTACTTAATAAACATCCGAATGTAATTACGTATTGAACACACGAACAAATGAAGAATTTTAAGAGAAAATATACAAGGAGAAGTTAATAAAAATGAATACTGTCCTTATCATGCAAAAATGATAAACAAGTTTCAAGCATTGCATGGCAACGATGTGATATCATGAGCAATAACGTAACATGACATGACAGTATTCACCGTTCTATAGAAATGACACCACTCGGGTGAGGATGACGACAAATCGATATGTACGTACCGAACATCCGCAAGTGCATATTCGTCGGTGGATTATAACTGCCACACGACATCAGAATTACACGCGTGGGCGCCATTTTGCGCGCTCGCCACTCGTCGCCGCATCGACGGCCGACCGCACCTCCGTCACCGTCAAATCGACCCGGAGGGCTGACGCTGAGCAACAACGACGCACACGTCGCGAGGTTGCGTAACCTACTGACCGCGTTTAGGAACGAATCGCGCGCCGATCGTCGCCATGTTATCTCAAACATCGCCGACCAATAGGAGCGTCCCTCGATCGCATCGGCGCGCCACCTGGCTAGCAAGGATGCTTATGATGCGTTCATACCGCGTATAACATATAATAGCCAATAGGAGGACTTGCTTTCTAGAGACAAAAATATTCCTCGCTAAAGTTCCTAGAAAATCCACTTTTCTATTGGATATCGGAATGCGTTTACTTACGAACGAAAAAAAGTTGCGACGCTTCCTTTTGACTTTTTTCGGAATGCAGACGACATTTGATTTGTTTTCTAGTTCTCGAGACGGGGTACGATCCATTTGGCATCTGTCGCGTCATCAATACGTTCTAACCTTACTTGAAGTGTTTCTTTGTATCTGGATATATGATTATGACTTTTATCCCAAATTTAGGCTAGGTTTATGCTTCGCGTCTTAATCCTAAGATCCTAAAATTCGCTAATAAAGCTGCCAGTTCTAACCAAAATTTGTATTCTATTGGTTGGATTTTAGGATTGTACGGTTAATAACTGAAGCATAAACCAAACATTGGGTACATCCAGAAGCACGACCGTTCACTTGAGCGTTTAAGTAAGCTTTTATAGTACCTGTTTGGTTTATATTTTTAGATCTAATGTCTGGAATATGCTAATCAGATAAAAAAGCTCACTGAACGGTCGTGCTTCTGGATGCACCCATTAATGTTGTTAGCTAACGTAAATTAATTTATGTTTCAAATTAAAATTAAATATTTTAACATTCAGAAAATATTGATAAACTTCTTAGCTTTCGTATACAATCTACGATCATAAAATTGATATTCAGGAATTAAGAGCGATCTAAAATTGTAATTTTTAACTTTCAAATCTTTCTATATATGATAATATATATGATAAAGCAAAATAAAAAGATCGAAAGGCTTTCTCTAAAAAGTTATTTTTAATAGATTTGTAAATGTTATTTAGGTTCTAAACATAGCATTTTGTAAGGTTAATTAAATTTGTTCTATAATAGAATATCCGTTTTTCTTTTCAATGTCAGCTATTCTTATGAATAAATAATAAATTAGGAAATTAATATTAACCTTACCTAATATTTGAAATCATTCCTATCTTGGTGGCTGAATATTTTAAACCTCACTTTCTTTTTTATCAAATGTTGTTTCAGAAACAGTTGATGTTTTGTTTGAATCATTCATATTTTTTTTGTAAAATAAAACGTAAATAAAACCTTCTTATTTATTTATCATTATCTTTTCAATAATTATTATCTTTTCAATATTTAACGAAATGTTGCACCTGTGAGTTTATTTTTCATTTTGTTTTATTTAACTCCGATTTCACTGGACAACTTTTTTCATTGATTGTATACTAAAAACATATAAAATATGTGTTTGCTTTTAACAAAAATGTGTCTATATATATATATATATATATATATATATATATATATATATATATATATATGATATATACACTAAGATTATCATAATCATATGATTAATGATTAGATATTATACTAAATAAGAATTAAATAGAAATAAAAAAGCTTTCAATAATACAATATAATACAATACAAACCATAAACTTTTTAAAATTACTTTAGCTTAATCACAAACATTCTACAAGAAATAAAGCATCTTTTATAAAAGAATTACACCACTCAAATACTTCCAACTGGAATATTTTATAAACAAATAATTTAATATATTCTAAATTACTGCGTTCATTTTAAAAGAATTTTATAAAATTTAAACTTCCGTGACATTCTAATTTTTATATGATAAACCAAATAGACTCTTCACTCTCAACGAAGTTTCTTGTTATCGACTACAATCTTTTTTCCTTATTCTATATATGATAAGAGGGATTGAATCAGTAATACACAAATCTAACTTTATTCACATTTTTTTGTCATTTTTTCCGCTGAATCATCGAGAAAATGATCTTGAGAGAACAGAAACCTCTGCGATACGAATAGCAATTACAGGTAAATATGTACAATAATATATAATAAGTGATGGTTGCCTTTCCTTTTCTTCTTCTTCAACAGTCGTCTCGCTTCGTTCAACGACAATCAATCAATCAGCAGTATTTTAACTGTAATAAATCGCGCAAGATTCAATCTAATCCTTCTCACACATCCATACCTAAGCATTAATTACTATCGATCATCGAATATCGCGACAGTATCGACGAATTGACAGAAATGCTTCCTTAATTCAACCTTCAAATCACCAACCGCGGACTTTCTCTCATTTCGGAATCATCGCGCAAAACTCACGCAATCGATTTTAATCGCGATACAAAATGTTTGAGCATTCGTCTAATAGAATCTCTTCTTCTCTTTCCTTTTCATTTTATTTTTATCGTTTAGATTTTATGATGTCAAACTAGTGATCAGAATGCAAAACATCTTGCATCGCTCTCGATATTCGTCTCATCTTTAACTTATTGCGACCATTGTGTTGCACTTGATTTTACTTCGCTTCACTTTACCTCCTCCAATTTTTTCGTAAAATTCAAAATGCCTTTCTCTTTCTTTCTCACAGGTCTTAAATATATTTCATACCGTACATTCACACACTCACATTCGTTTAAATAGTATTTTATAACGTTATATCATCTGTTTCTTTCAAATCTCTCTCTTTGTATCTCTTTACGTCTCTTCCACTTTCATTCTCTCATGCACTCTTCCAATCGACTTCGATTGTTCACAATTCGTGTAAGGTGAAACAGGCTATTTGTGTATCTTTCTCGAATATTTAGAATTTTCTTTTTTTATAGTAACATTAAAGCTAGATTAAATTAAATTACTTGAATTTGATAGTTTATGGTAAGGTATAAAGTGATAGGTGTGTGTCTACTGAACTGTTCAAAATGTACGATTAACTTTTTTAACATTTAAATATCCTTTTATTTGTTATCTTCATATTGTCATTCTCATAACTATTTTATGATATGGAAACAGTAAAAAAATCTTCGATGAATCTGATCCTTTTGTGAAAAAAAATGTAAAAAATAAAAAAATTTTAATTATTCTCGACGTTGATTGCACAATCATCCCATTTTACCTTACTTCGAACAACTGATAGACACACTTTGAGACGCAAACATTAGATTTTTAAACAAGCACTCGACAAGTATCACTGGACGACATGACACTGTTAAACTGTCATTAATCCGAGCTAAGGAAAATAATCGACGAGTATATAATTAGCCCAAACCACAGTTACTTCAGTTTACTTCACTTCATCCTACTTATTACAATTCGTCTCTTTTTTTTTAAGTTACTTTTTTAACTTTTGTTTTGTTGCTAGTTTGCTTATTAAAGTGATTTCGTCGTCGATTTATTTACTTGTCTGTTTTGGATCGTGTATATTAACAATATGCTCGCCGATTTTTGCGTATAACTGGAAGGCCCTGGATCTCCGAGTTCTGAGATATCTCCATCTTTTTATATACTCTAAATCCATGGCTTCTATATTCTTAATTCTTTTGGATTTCTCCTTGAAGTACTACAACATTCTTTCTACTCAGAATCCATATTTTGGATCCTTAAGAAGCTATCTTGAAGCATTGAAAATTTCTTTATAAACTAATCCACGGATCTCCAGTTTCTCCAGATCCCTGACATATTCTTTTATCTTTTTATATTCACGGCTTTTGAATTCTTGAAGATTCCAAAAAGAAATTGAAACCTTTAGAGGTTTTTTTCTGGATTATTTGGATCGCCAAGTTTCTCAATCACCGAGTCATGAATCTTTAGATCCAAAAGTCTTTTTTTTTCATCACAAGATCATAGAATTTCTTAATCCTATTTAAAAAAGAATCCTGGATTCTGGAAATTCCAACTTTGCGAGGAAGTAATCAATTTGTATACAAACATGATAAAGCTCTCCTATATCTTCGTCCTTTAAATATTTTCCTCTTCGCTGGAGATCCTTAGATCCTTCTATCATCAAAGTCTGAAATCCTTTAAATCTCGAAAATCAGAAGTTGCTACGCAAAAATTGACGAGACTTAGCAACATCGAGTTTCCCGCATTAGCGAGGTAACATTCGCCATTATTATCACTTCTTTTCGTTTATCACCCTCCATTATTATCATCGCCTCTTACTATTATTCTTCTCCTCTACTTTCCCTCTTTATCGCCCTTATTTGCTCGAAGATCATCCTCCCGTTATTTTGTATTGTATATTGTAATACGTAGAGAGGATGAGAGATTGGGTGAGAACCCTCATCTTCTCGCGTAAGACTCGCGTGGCTCAACAACGACCGAGAAAAGGACCGCACTTTTCATCTGAAGAAGTCTTGCCATGCAAAATTCGCATTCCTCATCCCATTCTCTCGTCCTTCCTCTCTCACTTTTTCTTTCTCTATTTTTCTGTCTTCACGCCTCACTCTCTTTTAAGTAGTTTCTAACTTACTTTGTAATCGTCATTCTTTTACAAAGACATTGCTTCAACATACGGAGCACAACTATTGCGTCCAAAAATGTTGATACACCGATAGCTCTTTTTAATTCTCTCTAACATATATGTAATTTTTTAGTCCATCTTTAACGACCGCTTTCAGATGTATTACAGGATATTACATATATCAACACTCAATTATATAAGGATTATATAATCATCGCTTGAAAAAGTTGAGACATCAATAGCTTATCGTTATAAGTGACTGAAAATAAGCTCTTCAGATACTCAACTTTAAAGACGCTAATAAATAATAAAACCTTGCAGAGTTTTTACTGTTGACAACTCTTTCTTTGAAAGGTGTCCAAAAACAGGAGAACACCGTAAAGGAGGACGATCTTCGAGGTACGACTAGCCGATCTCGGCCTATAGGACTTGTAAAAAAAGATCTGTCGTCACACTCGTTTCTTCGGTGTGTATCCTCCCGTTTTTCTTTAATCATCTAAACAAGTAAAGCGACAAAACGT